TTATACTTATTCTAGCTTATTTACTAAACAATTATTATTTACTTTTCGATTAATTTGAGTAACCAATCAATGCATTGGTTACTCCCATAAATTACATTAATTGTTTTATTACATTAATTTTATAAACAAATACTCTTCTAACGCATTACAATAATACGTCATATATTGTTTTTAAAGAGTTAATGCACTTTCCAGAATTTAGGTCGGAATAGTGCAATGACCATACGTGCTTATCATGTCTTATGTTACAAATGCATATTTGTAACAGCATGAGTCAAACTATTTCTTTTAAGTAATATGATCAAAGTCAAAGCGTCAAACAGACAAAAGTGCATATTATAATTTATGACACATTTATTTTATCTGAATGAACAGTGGCTTGTCACATATGATATTAACGTAGGTCATGGGCACTACACCCTACCCCTTTAGAAAAGTGTAAATTAATTGAATTGAATATTTAAGTAATTTGCACTACAAATTTTATATCATTATAAGTGATTAATTCTTCATATATCATATTTCTTAAATTAACAATTTTATATACCTTTTTTTTTTTAATTGCTATAAACGTAATTATTATTTAATATGTGGATTCATATCTAGCAAAATATGATATTATTATTTAATATTTTAAAAATGTAGTATTTGTATAATTCTTACTTAATATGGTATTACAAAATTTATTTTTTGCTGCTTCTGCATTTTATTAAATTATTGTTGTGCAGTTCAACAAGTTTTTCATTCATTAATAATGTACTGTTTGTACCTTGTTGTGATACAATTTTATATGGGTTATCTAATTTCTTTCTGTTGCCTTTTTTGACATATACAAAATCATTTATTTTAAATTTTGCTTTATTAACATTTTTTTGTTTTTCTTTCATTAAATGTTTAGCATTAATTAATTGTTCTTTTGCTTTTTCTTGAGAGAATTTTAATTTTATTTTTAATTCATTAGCATAATTTTCAATATCATATATCGTTTGTTTATTTTTAATAATTTCACATGGTAATGCACATAATTTACCATATACTAATTCAAATGGAGTGTATTTTGTTGTTGTGTGTGGAGTCGAGTTGTAACTGTACACGTAATAAGGAAGTAATTCGTCCCAATTGTTTATTGTTTTCATGGTCATCAAATAGTCATTCAAAACTCTGTGGTTTCTTTCAACTGTTCCTAATGTCTCATGGTGAAATGGTGTTGATGTTACTTTTTCTATCTTTAACAATTTACAAATGTTTTTTAGAAGTTCATTTGTGAATTCTGTGCCCTTGTCAGTTTTCATTTTTCTAAAACAACCGTACTTAAGTATGAATTTTTCTACAATTGCTTTCGCAACATTTACAGCGTCTTTCGTTTCTAAAGGAATCGCTTCTACAAATTTTGTTAATTCACATTGAAGTGTTAAAATATATCTATATTTGTTAGATGGTATTAATGGGCCTACTGTGTCTATTGTTATTACATCAAATGATGTGTTTGGTGTTTCGGTAATTTGGTATTCTTCTTTTGTGTGCCTAATTATTTTAACTCTTGCACATGTGTCACAGTTGTTGACAAAATTTTTTATCATTTTGTTCATGTTTTTCCAAACAAATTTTTGTTTTAATTTATTTATGCATCTCTTAATTCCACAATGTCCTCCATGTAGAGATTCGTGATATTCTTTTATTAATCTGAGCATTTCTTTTGTATCTTCTATTCGTTTCGGTGGTGTATATATAATTATGTCTAGACTTTCTTTTAATTTTAATTCATTTTGCAGCTTATTAAATATTTCTTTCATTTCTTGCAAGTTTATTTCATTTAATATTTCATCATTTTCTGCTAACGCTAGCTTTGTAATTTTTAAGTTGTTCATTTTGAATAATAACTTCTTCAGAATCAATTTTATCTCTGATAATGATTTCTCGTTGTATTCGACAACTATTTTATTTGTTGCTATAATATTTATTGCACTATTTTCATTGAACTTATTATTTTTATGTTCAAGTGCTTTTCCACCTTTAATATATTTTGCACTATTTCTATTGAACTTATTATTTTTATGTTCAAGTGCTTTTTCTTCTTTTCCATCTGCAGAATGGTTTACCTTTTTAAATTCAAGTTTCTTTACAAATCTTACATCTGTTATTGATGTTGCTTCCCACATGTGGAGGTGATCAATCTCCGTGTTAGCATTCAAGGTTTGCTTTTTACTTTCTTCTTTATGTGCTTTAATATTTTTGCTCATTGTTCTAGTTAATACATTTATATTTTTGGGTATCATTTCAATTAGTTGCTTTGAATCTAATTGAATCCTAGATAGTGCATCTGCATTCGTATTCATTTTCCCTTGTTTAAATATAATGTTGAAATTGTAATCCATTAAATCTATTCTAATCCTCGTCAGTTTTGAAGATGGATTCTTGTGTGTAAAAAGACTAACTAATGGTCTGTGATCAGTATATACCGTAAAATTTCGTCCATATAAGTATGGTCTGAAATAATTAATTCCCCAATGAATTGCAAGAAGTTCTTTCTCTATTACAGGCTCGTTTATTTCATGCTTGTTTAGAGTTTTACTAGCATAAGCTATTGGTTTATCATTTCCTACTTCTCCTTGTGACAAAACTGCTCCTAATGCATAATTAGAGGCATCTGTCGTTAATATAAAATTTTTCGAGAAATCTGGGTAGCTTAAGATTGGTGGTGAAATTAACTTTGTTCTTAAACTTTCAAAAGATTTATCACATTCTTCCGACCAGCAGAATATTTGATTCATCTTTAGTAAGTTATTAAGAGGTCTAGCTATTTCAGCAAAATCTTGTATAAACCTTCTATAATAATTGCACATGGCAACAAATCTTCGAACTTCATCTGAATTTCTAGGTTTCGGGTAATTTCGGATCACTTCATGTTTGCTTGGATCAGTGCATACACCTTGCGCTGTTATTAAATGTCCAAGATATACAACTTCTGGTTGTAAAAAATTACATTTTTCAGGGTTTAATTTAAGATTATGTTCTTGTAGTCTACTAAATACTTTTATTAGATTTTCATTGTGATTTTTTAAATTTGAACCGAATATTATTATGTCATCTACATATAAAAATGCGGACGAATCCAAACCAGTTAATGCTAAAGTTAGCATTCTTTGAAAACTATTAGTTGAAATTTTTAAGCCAAAAGGTAATCTTTTAAAATGAAAATGACCTGTATTGGTTGAAAACGCAGTTAAATGTTTCGATTTATTGTTAAGTGGAATCTGATGAAAACTACTAGTCATATCAAGTGTAGAAAAATATTTCGCTTTACCTAATTTATCTAGAACGTCTTCTAAACGAGTTAGTGGAAATTTATCATCTACTACTTTTTTATTAAGTTGTCTGAAATCAATTACTAGTCTCCATTTCTCTTCTCCATCTTTATTCTTTTTTGGAACTAATAAGATTGGTGAATTATAAGGACTTGTTGATGGTTCTACTATGTCTTCTTTTAGTAATTTATCTACTTGTTTATTCACTTCTTGTAATTGCGTATTCGGAGTTCTGTAATTTTTTATGTAAACTGGTGTTTTGTCTGTAGTTGATATATGCTGCTCATAAAAATTATTAATTGTTAGAGTTTCTCCTTCTAAATGAAATATTTCCTGGAAGTCTTCACAAATGTTTAATATCGAATTTTCTGCTTTTTGATCTAAACATGGGAGTTTCAATAAATTCTTTATTCTATCAAATCTATTAGCGTATAGGGACGCTCTGTTATAATTTAATATGTTATAATCTTCTAATTTTTTTATTTCTATTTTTGCATTTTTTATGACTACTGGTGTTTCTCTTGTATTTAATATTCGAATGTGTTTTATACCTATTCCTGGTATTACGGAATTAGCTATAAATACTCCTTTCATTATTTCTTTACCACAAATTATACTATCTTCATTTATATCTA